AATGATATCCTTCGCCTCCTTACGGCGCCGTGAATCCTACCTCGCGATATCCTGTCCTTCGGGGGGGGGGGGGGGCGTCCAGGTTCAGGGACGGCCTTCTGGGTGTCTCGGAAGAGTAACCTCATTCGTTGTAAACTTTTTTTTTGTCTGTCTGTCATTGTCTTTTTTTCTCTCTCTCTCTCTTGTCCTTTTTTTCTTTTTCTCTCTTGTCCTTTTCATTCTACTTTTTTTTCACTTTCTTCCCTTTATTTTTTCCCCTTGCTTCACCCTCACCATCTTTTTTTTTTTCTTTGTCTTCGTCTCTTCTTCCGTTCCTCGTCTATTTTCCTTCCATTTTCCTCTTTGCTTTCCCTTCTACCTGTGCCACCCTTTCCCTTTCTTCTATCATTCGTTTCGAATATTTCACTATTTGTTATCTTTTGTTCTTCTCTAATCCCTATATTTATCATTTTCCCTCTCCTCTCCTTGGGGTTTTCCTTTCTGTCTCCATTCCTCTTTTAACTTTCTCTCCATCCTTCGTTTCCTCTTTTCCTCTCTCTTCCCGACTTACCTCCATCTTCCCTTTTCCCTTTCATCCATTCTTTGTCTTTTCTTCCTCCTCTGCCTCCCCCCTTCTTCATCAGCGATACCTCCCTCCTTTTTCTTTTCTTTTTATTTTCCCTTTGCTTTGCCCTTTCCTTCTCATTCACATCCTTCCTACTTTTCTTACCCTCTCTGTCTTTCAATTTTCTTTTTCTCCTCCTATCTTCTTTTCTCCTATCGGCGATTTTCCTCACTTTTCCTTCTTCCTCTTTCTCTCATTCTTCCCTTCCCAATATCCTCTCGTCTTCGCCAATCCCTCTCTCACATCCTCTCTATCATCCTTCCTTCCCGCTCCTCTCCACTCTTGATCATCATTTTCCTTCTTCCTTTCCTCTCCTCTTTTCCTTCTTTTCCTCGCAGTTTCCTGACGGCTTATTCGACCTCTCGACTTCCCTCTCCTTGGCGGCCTTTTCGAACTAGGATTCGGTGTTACGGCGGAAGGTTTTTGGGAAAGGGAGGGAGGAAGGGAGAAAGAGAGGGAGAGAGGGAGAGGAGAGGTAGAGGAGAGGGAGAGAGAGGAGGGAGAGAGAGGAGAGGAGGAGAGAAGAAGGGAGAGGGAGGAGAGAGAGAAGGGAGGGAGAGAGTGAGAGAGACAGGGAGGGAGAGAGAGGAGAGAGAGGGTGAGAGGGAGGAGAGAGGGAGAGAGAAAGGAGAGAGAGGGAGAGAGAAAGAGAGAGAGAGAGGAGAGAGAGAGGAGAGAGAGAGAGAGAGAGAGAGAGAGAGGAAGAGAGAGAGAGAGAGAGAGAGAGAGAGAGAGAGAGAGAAAG